GTACCCAAAAAATTTCATTTGATTTCTATAGATCATATGACAGAAAGTTTAGTTGTTATACTCTGTTATGATTGTATTTCTGCACACATTAAATTATTCTGAGCCAGTGTAAAACAATAAAAAGTTTAGCTAGCTAACACTTGAAACATCTGTTTAAAACAAATTCAAGATTAAAAAAAATTTCTGTGGTATTTCAAATGTGAAAATAAAATTAATACGCCGGTATTGACCTCAGTTACGGCAACGCTTCCTTCTTCCCTATTTTCCGTTCCATCAAACAAAAATATTAAAAATAAACAGTTCAAAATTGAACCTATCAGAAACGTAGGCTAAGGTCAGATATTGTGCTGTTTTCCACAGATCTTCAAGAAGAAAAAGAGAGACGCTAAAAACGAAGGTGAATTTTATTTTTATAATGCTTACGTAAGCTTACAATTTTTCTTTAAAAAATTAAATTACTTATCGAAAAACAGCAGAAATTCAGAATTGGTTTCATCGTTGCCTAATTACTTGATGATTTCTACACTTAAGTTCAAGAGTAATAAGTTATTATGGTTGTCATCTAATAGCCACAATGCGCCTCCTGCTGTCTAACCTCCAAGAGACGGCAATCACTGCAGCAACTGTCCCCAGACGGAATTGATCAACTTCAAGCTAATTCAGTAGCATTCCAACCAAAATTTGACGTCCGCCAAAGACATCTATGATACCCCAATTACTGCTCTATACTCCGCATTTAACAATAATAATGTAAAATTCTTTACTGTTTTCAGTAGAATAACTGCGAATAAAAAAAAAGAACAAAAAAAGTTTATATGTAAAACCCTGTTTGGTGAGCGTTGAGTCGGAATAAAGTCTACAAAAAAGATATGTCTTTAAAAAAAACGCTATCTACAGAAGAAGGAAGACAAGACAACAGACATACAGATGAACAAAATAAGAAAATGAATCAGAAAAAAAGTATGGGTAAGAATTTTAGTAATAATTACAGCAGTACTACTAGTAATAGTAACAGTAACAGTAACGACAATAGTAACAGAATTAACATTAAGCACCAAACAATTCCCAAATACCAATTTTTCACAGAATTCATTTGTACGATTTCGCTTCAACGCAAAGAAAAAAAGATTTGTTTTTCTTGTCGCACAGTTGAAACTAAAAAATTTTCAGTTTAACTGCTTTTCGTAAACTATGCACAAATTTTTATCAATTGAATAAATTCAAACTTATTCCCTTAAATTTCTATAGTTTCAGTTACAACTTTCTTATCAGACAAGATAAAATTACTTGAATCGTCGATGATAAAGCTGCTAACTGTAATTAACATTGGCACTAGTATTAGCAGTAAAACTGTGTCAGTCTTTCATGCAATACATAATATATCATAATAAACAGAATAAAACTCTTCGATAACGATAGTTGATCAATGCTTACTGTTGCAATACGACGAGCAAAGTTTTTAAATGTAATTATACACGTTTCTAATTCAATCATTTACAACAGAGAAACCTGCATATTTTTGCAGTATCTCAAATCGTAGTTCCAGATGAACTACTACTACTACTAACACTACAACATTTATATCCTTCTGAAACAGTTCTCTTCGAGTTAAGAGATGTGCTCAGTCAGATTCTGTAAATGTACGACATTCAGCCGTAACTCTTCCCTGAAATATTGGCAAATATGCGTGATCGTCGCTAACTGTTGTCCATTGATACGGCGCTGATCCGTCTTCACACTCGCTTTTGAAGAAGAATCTGAAAATTGTTTGTGCTAGTCAACAAAGAATCTGTATAACCTATGCAGCAACATTTCAAAAATTACTCATCCAAACCCATATACTCACTTTCTCAACTAACTGATTAATCAGTGTTAAAAACAGCTGAACTGCACAAGATTTTAGATTATTACCACTGTCATGATAAAAGTCAAGTTACGCTTACTTTTTATTACATTTTGACGAAATCCCAAAACAGTGCCGAAATTCTCGGAAAGTTATTTCTCGTTCACGTAACTTTGCAACAAACGGTGCTTCACCATTTTCTTCTTTGTATGAAACAGTTAGCAAAGAATCATCGTTTGTCATACCAAAGTTTCCACTACATCGTTCTTGCCTTCTAAAGTACTTCAGTTTTGCTTATATCATAGTATCTCATTATATTTACAAGATTCGCACAGCACTACCAATTTACTATTGCCACACAGTGACTTACCTAAATGTCATAAACACTTGCAAGCATAATGCTCACCACTTAATTACAACATTTAGTACTTTGAGCCGCAAATCAGTGTCAAAAAAAAGGAAAATAACAACTAACGGCAAAGTCGCAATTGCGTGTAAAACACCAGGGTGCATACTAAATCCTCTTCGGGCCATATTTGTATTGTGAAGTGAACAATCTATAAAGATATAAATGTTCCAAACTGTCGTTTCAAAAATACGCCCTCTAAACACGGAAACCAGAAAGCAACAAACGAAAACCTTGAGAAGCAATATGACGAGCTTTTCTGTACAGAGCACCCATATTTACAATGTTTGCTGATTCAGCACTGCAGAAACCAGAACTATCAGACAAACGATGACCACCATATCCGCCACTATAGAAAAAAAACAAAGTTATGTGTAGGATTATAATGCTAAAGATAATACTAACTTCAAAGTAGCGTTTCTTCAAAAATTTTTGCAGTAAACAAACTTTGATAACGGAGTAGCACTACGCGCTACTTGTGAGATGTGTGAATGACTACAGCTGCTATACGGTTGTTCTTGAGATCGAAAACCGCCAGGCGGAGGAGCAAAACCTCGTTCGCCATACGGATTTGTGACTTTTGTATAAATGTGTGAGTGACCGTCAAATGGATTCGGTGACAGAGACGCTGAAGGCGAAAGAAGCAACTTTAACGTCTATTACAAGATTAGTTTTGGCTCAGAACCAATTGCAGAAGGTAAGATAGAATATAAAAAATAATTATGAAAATCTTACTGGACCGCCGTCGTTCATTTCTAGCTGAGGGCTGCTTATCAGAATCAGCGTTATTCATCTTTTCAACGTAGGTTGTCAACAGATCCTCTTCGCTAATTACCGAATCACTTTCTTCATTTATCTTCGTGGTTTCCTTTGCTGTCGAACTGACCTCTTTTGAAGTCGGAGTTGTTAGGACGTCTCTGAAAACAGCCTTTAAGCAACAACAACAGCAGCAACGTCTCCGTTCGTTAATACACCAGTGTTCACACATTTAAACAACCTTTGGAACAGTTTTATTGCTTTGGAAAAGTTTAAAAAGAGAAAGGAAAGTTAAGTAAACTATTGAATGAAACAAGAAAAAAGTACCTCGCGTATAGCTCTTTTCCTGTTTCACGCTGTTTTTGTTCAATTAAATCGGCAATAATTTGTAGTTTTGATTTCAAAATCGCTGCAAAACGTTCTCGTTCTTCAGCGATTTCGTGCGTAAAACGTGTACCTTCACAAACGTATGGTGAAAACTGAAAAGAAACTTTCTGTTTTATTGTTAAATCATTAAAACAATGGCCTTTTTTTTTGGTAACAACATTTATGGAGAGGATAACAGTGTCTTAAAGAGACTGTTGACACATGAAAAAACTACAACTGCGTACCAAAAAACTGTTTCCAAAACGATCACACTGCCGTCTACCAAAGTTTTTCTTAGATGCTTCTTCACCATGAAAGCTATTCTGATTTTCCCATTCACATTTACCGCTTTTGACAGTCAACGAATGTATGTTTTGATTTGGTCGAACAGGCCTTGGCCTATAAAAAAAAAAGAAAAAAAAACAATTAGTAATTATTACACTGTTTCTTTTTTTTTTTTTTTCAAGAGCTTCTTCTCCCATTTCTGTTTCGGTGGAAGAGTTCATTTTTAGCAGTTATAATACAACTGAATCGACAGCAAATATCAAAAACTAATCATTGATCGATCCAAAAATGGTTGCCGATAAAATCTCACCATACATTTTTAACCAAGAAAAGAAAGAAAGCTCCCAAAATTTTTGCAGACATAAATTCAATTTAATTTCAGTGTTTAAGACTGAAAAAAAATGTCATTTGAATGTTTTTGTGCCCCGACACACTGATCATCTGTGGCAGAAAACATTTAGTTTCGATGATCTCTAGTCAAAACTGTCTTACATCTTAGCCGTCCGTCGCCCCCATTCTGCAGTATTCATGCACACATGTGAGGCTTTAGTTAGGTTCTGATGAGCGGATAACGGCTGATTGCGCGTATACGACGTTGACGGTATATCTTCAATAACATAACTTCGACCACATAGCTGAAAATATACCAGTATTACAACCAAAACCAACTGTCATTTAGTTTGCTAGTAAGAGGAACAAAAAAAAAGTACATGGTAAAAAATCCCCTTTTGTGAATCAGTAAAAAAAGCATTTTCTATTTGCCTTTCAACTGTTACCTCCTGGAAATAGGCTGAATTAGCAAAAGTTTCGTATTGCTTGCGCAAATGTGCAAGAATATGTTCTGTACATGGATTGAAGAAACCAATTCTCGGCGGATTCGCGGTAGATAATGAATGCACCCTTTCGGACATCTCCTTTCGAACCGTCGATGGAATAAAATTGCAACAACCCGTTTTCATGCTAAAAAATACAACAGTGTAACCTCATTAGTTAATTGCACCATTTCTGTGTTCATCTTTGACTTGTTGGACTTACGTGCGCTGAATTACACTGGTCATGAAATAGTGTAGTTTACATGCAATAAATATCGACAACATAAACATAAGCGACAGAAAAAAATGCAACTTTTATACCTGATAAAACGTCTATGTATTCTACAAGCCATTTCTGTTGCCTTTGAATCACTTTTTTCAACAAAATCCCTGAAAAAAAAAAA